CAAACATAAGATAAATGTCCCAACTTAAATCTTTTCTCACAGTGATATATGAGCTTCAGTAATAAGAGCTTTGCGAAGGTCAGAACTTGATTTCCTTCTGTGAGCCATCTGTGACGATCCTATGCAGATACAACAAATGGTGATGCTCACATCTGTGTGTATCTGCTGCAGTGGCTTAAAAGATATTTTCATCTTCTTGACAGGTGTGTGGATCGCCACATGTGAAACTTGTGTAAAACAAAGGGAAGCAAGTATAGTACGTGTCACATGGTATCACTTTTATGGCCACTGTTCTTTGCAGTGATGGGAGAAAGTAAACTGTAACTGTAAATCCACACTGGGATCCTGGCATTGTATCAGCTCCCCAATAAGAGTAATAATGTTTGAAATGGTCGTTGTATGAATGTTTATGCTTGGTTTGATCTTTGTGTATTTTCTGCTCCTCCAGAGATACTCAGCACGCTACACTCAGATTCCTTTGGCTTGGGTTCAATCAAGATTTTTCCTCCAGAATTTTCCTATTCCTCTTGACATATGGCGTTATGATATTGACAGATGTGTGTGACATGGGAAGACGCGAGAAAGCTTTCAGCAGGGGTGACGCATGTTCCAAGCCACAGCTGCAAGTTTGAAAAGAACCTGATGTCACACCGTCATTCAATTCAAGTGAATATAGTAAACTGTCAATCTGCGATGCACTTTTAATGAAAAAATTAAAACCTACACAGTCATCATTTATGAGCGGATCTAGCAAGATTCAGGCAATAAAAGTATTACTAAAACAGCTGTTATTACATTTTTTTAATAATTATAACATAAAAAAACAGAATTTAAATTCACATAACTTCATTTTTGAGATACAAATACATAAAAAGTAAGATATTCAAATTCCTTCTGTATTTAAACATGCAATCAACACATAGCACAAGAACTGTGTAAACAGCATTTACAAACCTACACATATCTGTGGACAATAACACAAAAATCACAACATAACAAACTTATCCAAAAACATGTAAAACGTTTAAATGGTCCTAAGCTATTTTTTTCACAACTCTGTACAATTCTTAATGAAGACTGACCTACCCTAAAAATATCTCTGTGAGAACACTATGACATTTCCCTCAACTCTTGTTATAAATATGATTGAGGCAAACCATGTATAAAGACTAAAGAAGACTGGAGCACCTCAGTGGCCAAACAAAGCATTGTTCATTTCCTGTTTCAAACCTAGGCTGGCAACAGCTTTGGACAGAGCTATGGACAGGGGCTCATTGTGTGTCTTTCCCACCCAATCAAAAGTTTAAAAAGGAGAGAGAAAACAGGAAAGGAAACACCATTCCCATTTAACTGATTGGGTATGAACCATACACTCTGTTTCCAAAGTTGCTCACTGCTCACTACTTCCCATTACGGTCAAGTAATATAAGATCCCTGAAGCCGAACTCATCTGCCGCACAGAATTAAATCTGATGCCTCAGACTGCTCACACACTGCTTATGAAAAATCACACAATGAAATGCATGGAGAGAATTAGTGTTTAACTAGTGCATTTTTGGGGCATTGTGCAAAGTTGTACCTTGAGAAATGGGCTCTTTTCTCTGGGCTAAGGTAACACATACCTTCCGAGTTGCTCACCTATTATTTTTCCAAGTACATCGTGATAACTGGCTAAAAGCAGCCCTGTTTCAAACCAACAATAATGCTGACTTCATTTTCATCACATATAAAAGGTATAAAATATGGTCAAGAAATAGTGCAAATTTATCAGAAACTGGACATTGCCTTCTCATCAGAGAAACCAAACAGCACTGCTATGAAATTATTAACCATACTCATTTCCAAAGGAGGTGCCACTCTGACGCTGCAGTTTCTTTGTGATTTATGTGTTTCTGAGGGCACTGATATCTCCGTGCTCAGATTTTGATGGGTGTGATAAAACCAGGCAGTAAAGTAATGTCAGCTCTCTATAACCACAGCTGGTGTTACTCACCGGAGGGCTGCTTTGATGTTCTACAGACATTTGGAGAAAGTCTTTGGGATCAATGTTGTGACTGACAGGGCAGACAGAAGAAATATGTACAGTACATAACCACAAACAGACGTCACTGCAACCCTGTCAGCAGTCATCTGCATTGTAAATTCCCACGAACACTATTCACATTATTGTTAAATCAGACGTGACTGATGGGCCGTTGGGCAATTGAGTAAAGTTATTCACAGTGAATATGTGGTACTAAATTGAAGAAGAAGAAGAAGAAGAAGAAGAAGAAGCAGAAGAAGAAGAAGAAGAATCCTTTAATTGTCCCACAAGGGGAAATTTGGGTGTAACAGCAGCAAGAAAGACACATATACAAACAAACAGTACACAAGACACAGAACAGAAACATACACAATTTTTATATATTTACATCAAAGACAAATAGGTAGCATGAATAGGTAGCATGCAAATGTACCACACTGAGAACTGCATGAGCATTAACCTCCTAAGACCCGAACTCTTCCGCAGCATGCATTTTTAATTTCTCTTTAATATTTGGGCATATTGAGGCCCGATGAATGTAAAAACAAAAAATTACCAGATTTTTTTTTACCCAATTTTTGTTTCTAAGAAAAATGAGAGCCACAAATGAGGATATTCGTTTAAAATTTTGATAGAACAGTGGTAGTATAATGTCCTCATAAGTGGATATCTGGCCCTTGTAGAGCAAAATTGAGTATTTGGGTCTAAATAAACAAAAATGTGATGTCCACATATGTGGACGCCAGGTCCTAGGAGGTTAAATGAGAAACCATAAGTATGACCTGTCCTTCATCAGCATTTTCTGGTATTTGAAAATAACTAAAAAAAAAAAAAAACCTTTAAGAGGTTAGGACCCCAAAAATGCTGCTTCATATGTTAGACTGTACTAGTGAAAAACGTGTCCTTCTTTGGACAAGTGGGTAGTAAGGACATTTTGCTTTTAGGTCCAGACTTCTCATAACAGCTGTATGAGCAGGCCTGGTGGAGCAGGTCCAAGCAAACCGACTGTCTAAGAAAATCTGATTTGGCTAAAAGGAACAAACTTTACATTGGCTCCAGGCTAGAGGGTTTCAGATGAAATATTGGATAAGGGCTTGAGTGTTGGGGGTAAACAAGATAAATCCACAGTGGAACTTCTCAACATCTGAACATATTTGCTGAATAGAGCCGCTCCCACAGAGTGAAACCTTTTGAATGTGAAGCAAGTTGTTGCTAGGAGGAAGAAAAAACAACAGACTTTTGGGTAAAACCTGGTGAGTCTGAATAGATGTCCATAGCTTTATGAACTGATAACTGCTCTCAAGCAGTCTGCTGTTGTCATGGGCTACTAGAGTAATAGAGTAGTATAAGATACTGTACAAGTTTCACAATAGTAAAGTTTAAGTGTCACAATCACTGATGCTGTGTGAATACATTTAACTTAGAGTCAAAAGGGGGTTATTCCATTTGTCATGCCAAATATCTCACAGATATTTTACATCTGCATTTTAATTGAACAGTTTTTACTTAGACCACAAAAACACAATTCTTCTGCAGTTTGGTTATAGAACCAATGCAAGAAAAAAAGGTGTTTTATTCCTAGGCTTTGCTGACAACTGTTTGTATTTATCATGGTTTGAGCTGAATCTTGATAGTGCCTTGCAGTGTTCATCTAATCTGAGTAATATTTGTGTTACTAGTCCCACACCAATATTTATAAAATAAATCTCTGCACTTTTAGGAGAAAACTGTCTGCTGTTTATTTGCTGTTCCAGCACTTTCATAACTACACAGTCATGTCATCATCATGCCCTGTCATATTAAGTAATAACTTTTTAAAAAACTGGTAATTATCTTAGTGAACACTGGATGGCATTGTTGCTGTTCAGTAACCCTGCAATTTGCAGCAGTGTCTCATTTTTTCTCACTATGTCAGTGTAAAAGGGTAAACTATGCACTGTCGTGTATTGTTATTTGATATACACGATTAAATTTAAGTATTTCATGCATTAATGTCTTGGTTTCAAGATGTCTTTTTAATATTAGAAAGGCTGATGTACAACACGCGAGATTAGATTAAGGAAAATACTTTTTCAGTCAGATAGAAGAAGCTATCAAACATGTCGCACCCTGTTCTCCTTCTAAATCTAAGGGAACAGTATAATACAAGTAAATTGTAAATTACACATCTTTTTACATTTGAAAGTTGTAAAAAAAGATGTGTAATTTACTAAACAAATTTTAAAGGTCATTATTGTAACTTTTTAACATTTTCTTGATCAAATTTTATTCTTAATTTGCAGATAGAGTTAAAATTATAATATACTTGTAGTGTTTAACTATATGTATATTATTGTTAAACACTACATAAACACTATATAACTATATATATAATAAAATATATAGTTAAGCAGAAGACTATTTGACCAAGGCATGTCATCTTACCATGCGTTTGAAGTGAACTGCTATGTGTACACACAGCATTCCTATAGTAATGCGGGATTGTTATGTGGAAACTATCCTGGGATAGTAGACAAACCAGATTATCCAGGCTAGCTCTGACACACCTAGTTCACCTGTATTTTGTCCCGGATACCCAAGAACACGGGTCAATGACTCACTGAGGAACATCACTGGCACTGTAGACAAAAAGAGGAGTTTCAGCTGTTCCAGTGAGGAAGGTCAGCAGTTAATTAATGAATTAATGCAGCACTTATTTTTGGCTTTGTCATGAGCAGGGATTGTTAGTTAATATTATACAGTTAACTTAAGTAAATGGGGGAAAGAAGATCATTACTTATCATCATGTGTGAGTCTGCTGGTTGTATTTTTCAGTCAACATATTCCCAGTAATACTTTGGTTCCTTTTCTGAAACCAGTTTTCTGAATACACTACCCTTTTGTGTAGTGTATTAGTTTGGTTAATAATGATGCATATTGGTGCAAAATATTCATCTGAACAATGAAACGGTTCCAAAAGAATTGATAACACTCAAAATGCAAAACATAAAGAATTTAATGAATTTCCTCAAATGTAATTTTCGCCCTTATTTTTACACAAATGGCTTCGATGATTTCCTGCAGTTTTGTGATTATGGCAGAAATATTTTGATCAAGCCTCATTATTCAAAGTTTTATTTGAATACGTCTATGTGAAAGTGCATAAATTAATTACTTTTTTCTTTCACTGAAAATGATCTTACTTTGAAATGCAAATGAGACTAATGACTAATTGTAAAACAACTTTTTTCCATCAGCATGTGGACCAAGACTGGAATGAATATCTAATGGCTCAATGCCACTCTTAAAGTAAATTTATGTTTGTGCTCAAAAGAAAAGGAAAGACATTTTAAAGTGCAGATAATGTATTAAAAACAAGCCACAAGTCATTATCAAGAGTTCGTGTAGCAGGACAAAAGAAAAAAAAAAAAAAAAGAAAAATCGGTAAGATATCAGTCTTGCTGATGTAGCAAAGTCAGTGGCCTCCCCTTGTTTGTGACCTCTGTCAGATGACAGTGAAGGTCTCCAGTAAGCAACAGTGTTGGTGAGTAGCACTCACAGAACTGTCTCTTCTAATAGCAGCTGCTTCACACCTTCTTGAACGAAATAGGTGCCTCCCATACCAATTCTGGCCCATTCCCCCTAATTGGTTTCTATGCTCTGTTGAATCTGTCTTCACTGTTGCTCTGTTCAACAGCCAAAAGTTCAGTACCTTTCCTGTCACTTTAGCGGTACTGAAAGCCAGTGTTACTTACTTCCAACAGGTAAAATGAAGTAAAATCAGTTTTCCAATAAGCTATGATTCAAATTATTCTATGTATTACAAGCAGCATCGCCATGGAGGGCAGCAGCAACAGCAAAGCTGTCGAATTGGGTTCCTCTTCTTATACCTGGCAGCTGCCTTAAACTTCTCATTAGATGCAACCACGTAATCCTGCGTCATCTCTACATTGGTCTGAATGTGTTCAATAAAGACCCCCTGTTCCTCCACCAGCATGAAAATGTCCATGAAGAGGTCCCGAAGCTCCTTCATATTGTTCTCCAGGCTCAACAACTCCTGTTGGTGGAGAAGGATAGTGGGATTAATACTGCAGATAAGAGAGACATTAGTCAGAAGATGGGAGAAAGGACCAGAAGATTTAAGACGCAATGAAGGAGCAGGCTGAGGAAGAACATGACCTGAGCATGGGAAAATGCTCAACATTCTCATGACTTTTATATACTTAGTGATTAATGTCCTGTTTCACTAACACATCTCTCTGTATTCAACACTGGCTGTAAAGGTGTTTGTTAGGACAGAGAGCACTACTTCTTTCTATTCTCAAGGAGTCAATTTTATTCACCTGGTGTCGCAGGTCTACACGAATCTCTGATAAATGTCTAGAATAACAACCAGTACAAACCTTTTCTGCTCCTTTACCCATTTGTGTCAGTTGATGTAGTGTATTTGTAAAACATGCTAAAATGGCACTTTTTTATTACCTCCCTTAAAGAGGATATGTGTTTGTTTAGGTTTGACTGTTTGTTAGCAGGGCTAATCAAAAAGTGAATGAATTTGCATGAAAATTTTACCAGAGGTTGGGTTTGGGCCAGATTCAATGTTATTAGCTTTCACAGTTGATCCAGATCTAGATCCAAGAGCCTTTTAAAGGATTGTTTAGCATTGCTGAATATTGATATATTATCTCATATGCATTCTCAAACCGCTCTTGTTAATTTTTGTTATTAAAGATTCTCACATTCACAGCATGAACAGACTGGATATCTAACTATAGCAAGGAGCAAATTTCTATCAAATAAAGAACACTGAATTAGTTTATTTGCCATGAATGGCTGGTTGTTTTAGGTGCCTTCAAGACTCTATTGTTACCTTTGTGTTGGTCCAGTGAGTTACTTGTGCTTCCCTTACCTTGTGTCGCTGTTCGATCTCAGATAATTGTGTCCGCGTGATTCTGACATCATTCAGCAGGTTCTCGTTGAACACCTCCCAATTTCCGGTGGCCACCATCTCATCCACCTCCTCCTCTGTTACAGGTTTTCCTGATACCTCCAGCTGCCGGATAATGAAGTGCTTACAGCGCTCTTGCTTGGTCAGCAGGCCTTCATTATACTCTCGCATTACCTGAAAATAATTACAGCCAAAAGAAATAAGAGGAAGACAGTGTATGAAGAATGAGAGGCGTTTTAGTCCCATGTTTTTTTATCATCAGTAGAAAACATAAACATGGTCTTTGGTGCAGTGACAGTTTTCACAGTGTTCACAGTGCATTTACTGCATTTCTTTTCACGTTATCAAATACAGATAAATGTATATATTTATTTATGTATGTATGTATTTATATGTATATATATATATATATATATAATATATATGTGTGTGTGTGTGTGTGTGAAACTTTAACTCTTTTCAAACTAATCTACCAAAGAAAGAAAAAAAGAAAGAAAGAGTCAAATATCAAAAAAAAATAAAAAATAGTAAGAATATACTCCAGACCTGCTGGAAGCGGCGGAGTAGTGCTGCATGTTGGGAGCTTTGTATTCTCGTTAAAGCAGCAGTAGGTCCCTGCTGCTCCATAGTTTTCTGGACCTGTTTCGAAAGGTTGTCTAAACGACGGTGGAGGCTTTCAGCCCTGAGCTTTATGTCTCGTGTTATGCTGCTCTCTTTTTTCATCACACTAAAACGACGCATGGTTGCCACCATGGTCTTTTGCTGTTGAGTGAACTTAAGGACCTGTTTGTAGGTAAGATTTGGAAACACACGTTAATAACATAGTAAGTAATATCCTGCAAATATCGTGTAATAAATAAATAAACAAATGCTAAATGCAAGTCTAGTTTAGTCATTTTTACCTCTGTTTCCAGCACTGCAATGTCATCTTGTATATGCTCAACCTCTGACAGAAAGTCCTGAATGACTGGCTCCTCCTCAAACACCACAGCTTGTGGCTTTATGACCCCAAACGCCACAGAGTCGTCATCATCATCCTCCACTGAGAAAGGATTGGTATTCTCAGTTGCAACCACAGATAACTCTTGAGCCTTCTGCTGCAACTCCACCAATCTGTCTCTCATTATGAAAAAGCACTCCTCTCACAGTTATAAGTTATTACAGTATGTAAAGATCTTGCCAGTGCTGATGAGAAAATCCTGAACAGAATAAATAAAAGAAAAATTATTCATTTTGACACACTGTAGTAAATAATAACAAAATATACAGTACAAAAGTATGAAATACTGACAGTAAAGCTAGAATGTGTCAATCAGTTTAAAAAAAGTGTCTATGACTATGCCCTTTTTTTCACCAAAAGCACGAAATAACATTTTGTAGTTCTAATATGGATATTTTTTAGAGTTCATGTCTGGATTGTTTCTAAATTTTAAGAATGACACTAAATCAAGAGGTTTGAGTATCAATTATTCTAAAGGGAAACAGCTGAGACAATAGGGTCACGGGCAATGAGCTCTTTTTACTTCTGTCAATACTAGATGATTTTAAAATACGAAATACAATAATATTTTTTATTTTTTATTTTTAAAAAATATTTTCTTTCTTAGTTGTACTATAAAAAAATCCATAACTGGTGCTCTGAACATTCAATGAGTATCCGCAGTGAAGAGCTGGACAGCACTAGGCCCTTATATGATCCAAGCCTACTGTCTGAAGACACTAAGACCACTTCATGAATACGTGGTAGCACAAATAAGGTTGCTGTAAGATGGCTGCTCTATCCCAGCTTTTGTTCTGTGTAAGCCTCAACTTAGCTCATCACTAAAAGTGAATATGGACATAGATTCAGGGGTGGATTGACCCTCACTCACCTCCCATATGATGACATCAAGCTGTATGCCGGGAGTGAACTAGCCGATTAGCTTGCAGGATCTACTGCAAGGGCATTGGGGCGTCATTCAGATTGGAAAAGTGTGAGGCTTCTCAAAATGCATGGAGTTCTGCACCCAATGTCCAATGGCCTGAAGTTCTAAGTGCAATGGGAAGAGAGAAGGTAAGAATTAGTGAGATTCAGAGCCACAATTCAAGAGGAAACACAAAGCATCCACAGTTAATTCGGGAAGATGGTCCACAAGATGAGCTACTCAGAGGATGGCTATGGCAACGAGGAACAGGAGGAGGAACTATCATGAACAACCAAGCCCCTGCATACATCAACAGAGAAAGTGGCTGACATCAAGAAATCCTACTAGTGGCTAGAAAAGGCCAGCCTAAAGGACAACCAAGACACTCTAATCATGGCAGCACAAGAACAAGCCCTAAGCACCAGATCTATAGAGGCAGGAGTCTGCCACAGCTGACAGAACCCGAGTTGAAGACTGTGCAACAGGATGTAAGACGCAAGTTGGGACAGTGTACCCTGACAAGGACAATCAAGTGGTTGAGACAGTGTTTAGCAACATCTGTGCTACATATAGACTAGAAGTCCCCAACTCCCAATGGGAGACAGCACCAAAGGTGGTTGAGAACAACAGGGCTAAGATCCTGTGGGACTTGAAGTTCCAGACAAACAGCTGCTGACCAACCAACTAGACGTAGTGGTGGTTTAATCGATGCAGCAATCCCAGCGGATAACATCAGAAAGAAGATGAAGAACAAGAAAACAGAGAAGTACCAGGGACTTGAGAAGTACCAGGGAGTTGAGGAACAACTGGAGCTATGTATATATATATATATATTATGTAAGGCCTTAAGTTTTCATACAAAGGCTGTCACTAACCACCTAAATCCCTCCCTTAGTACATTTACAGAACACTTGTAGGTAAAGCTTGTAATCTTGCAGTTGACTCTGTATGTATGTAATGACTTTATTTGTTCTGATGAGCATAAATGATGAGTCATATTGGGATTCTGCTTAGTACAGAGCATTTTTAACTGTATATATAAAAAAACAAGAAAGAAAAACAGGGAAAAAGTTTATCTGTGGAATCAGTCAAACAGACTTGAGCTCATTTTCCCATGGGAACTGACTTGTTTGTGTTTAACTCTACACACAACAAAAACAGAAGACGGAGAAGGTTGTCGCCAGGTTGTCGCATTCTAAATAATTCAGAGAACAGATAACGTCACTTGGATAAACATCTGATTATTTAGTTGGAAGTTTATTAAATCAATATCTCAAGAAACATTGTTAAAGAAAGCATTTAATTTGATGTTTTTTTGGTTTCCTGCATATTGATTGAAGTCATGAGATACTGACTTAGATTTTCTACATGCTTTTGACCAATGAAGTGCACTCAACTGCATATTTCTGTCATTAAAGTGGTCATACCAACATTTTTAAAATGCTTTAGCCAACACAGGGATTTGAGTTTTAGAGGCAGTAAAATAATCTTTTGCAAGCACATGATTGTGTGGGGGGGAATGGAGCGTTTCAAATCACAGAGTATCCCACTTCTGGATAGATTTCAAACAGGAAAGATCCTATGTGTGTGTAACTTATATAAACTTCACAGGAGTTCAAAGAATGTACAAGTATAGTTTGAGGTGAACTCTTTCCCTCTCTCTTTTTCTTTCTTGCTCTCCCCACCTGCTCCGCATGGAAGAGCCGATTAAAAAAATTGCTCAAAGGATTTGAGAGCACATTCTCCTGTGTTTAGCCTAAAAACCTGGAACAGAATAGAGCTTAATTCAAGGAGTTCAGTCTCACTCTGTGAAAACATTTTTGGTCTGTGAAAGAAGCAAATATTTTCCTTCCACCCATCCATCTCCTCCCTTTCCTGTGTTTCTGATGACATTCTCCCATTTCAATGCAGGTAGAGAAGGAGGAGTTCTCAATTGTTGTAGCCTATTTTTCCTAGGTCAGACAATTGTATGTTGTAAGCTGGTCTTGAAAGAATTCATTTACAATGTAACAGATAAAGTAGTTGGTCCAACTTTTTCTCTTTCTTTAGCTGGAGTTGTGCTTGCTATTAATAAATAAAAACACTGAACATACATGGACATTCAGCTTCTTTTTCTCTTAGTCTCGTTTTCTTGCCCTTCAAATACAAATCATAGTATGTTTCTAGAAACAAAGTTCTGAGGCTATAACAATCGTTTGATCTGAAATATGTATTTTACCTTAATGTTGTTAGTTTTCCATCATAGGCTGCCTGGTAGGATTACCCTTCACACCAGGAATGTAGTCCAAGACAAACAGTCTTTGATGATATCAGATCACCTTTAGATCTCCTTACATTTACCGGATGGTCATCAGAACGACACTGCAACAGTTATGCCACTATCAAGACAGTTACACTCGCAAACCCTCACAGGAAAGTTTTGAGGAAGTGTGGTTGAGTTGGCTTCAAGGACCTCCCCTTCTTTAGAGAAAGTCCTGGGTAAAGCCAATAGGAACGCAGACTGGAGGCTTATTTGCTTACATACAGAAACAAGTGAAGAGGGAGAGACAGGATGGTGAGTACAGAGAACACACAAACCCTACCCTCAGGCTTACTCCTGGGCAGGAAAATAGAGCAGAGCAAACAGAAGTGTATTGTGTACACTGCTAAAACCAAACAAAGGGGACTGTGGTTAGGGTGTCAGCTAGGGCGTTGAGCTTTTGATTTGCTAAGTTAATTTCTTTGTGAAGTGTCCAGATTCCTGGGGTAAGCCCTCATGGTCTTTGGATATTAGTCCAACAAACCCAGCTGAGTACTTTTGACAGATTTCTACTGACAAGCTCCCTGAAACCTAGGAGCCTTTTCAACACAAGAAGGGACACAGTCACTTTGTGCTATGCAGCATAACACGCTGTGCAAAGCTGTTTGATCTGCGCTGTCAGAGAAAGAGAGGGGAGAGAAGTTTTGAGGATGAGAGAAGACTTCAGTGGGGACAAGAGTTCACTCTTTTTGAGATGAAACTTTGGATGCTGGTTGCATAATTACTGTCTTTTTCAAGAACTGTGGCAACTGTTTTTCAGAATTCAGATTGGTAGTCAAGCAATGATGGGGAAACTATATATGAGCGAGAAGGAACAGAAATAATGAGATATACTGACTCACCATATATTCCTGTTTTGTTTTGTTTATTTACTTCATCTGAGACAGGTTTAAAATGTTGCCAAAGAACAAAAGAGACTAAAATACTAAAAAAGGCAGAGGACTTATAATACAATACTGTGTACTACAGTACTCTTTTTTTTCTTTTTTGTTTATTAGGACAGAGTACTTGGATATTAAAAACAGACCTCTTCCATAATGTTTCCTACTTTTGTGATACAAAAACAAATACGTAAAAGAGGAAGAGCAAGTACCAAAACTAGACTAATAAGCTCTACTTGATTTCTTCGGATTTTACTTCCAAAACACGTATATTGCTTGTAATTGGTCTGGTTAAGTGGTCTTGAGCAATAGTTCTCCAGCCTTTCTGAAGGTTTTTCAAAGGTTTTCTTTGGACAGTGGCTGCTTATTTTTAGCCCAGTCCTTATATCTGACCATTGTCAGGAGAGTAATTTTTTGTTTGTTTGTGAAGTCATTTAACACTGACCTAGGAATCATATACATGACACACAACTTAGCCAAGAACCCATTTTACCAAAGATAACACAGTTTGACCATCATAATATAGCATTTTTGCACCAACAAAGTGATTCCAAAAGAGACAATAGCCAAAAACTTGATATATAACTTGGTATGGTGTGAAGTGTATTCTTACAAAACTGATGAAACTGGGCAAATGGAAGACAAAAGTAGAAATGGCAGGCCTAAAGAATCTATTTAAAGTGGATGAACAGTATTTGAAAGGCATGTCCTCAAGAAATAGAAAAAAATTTCAGCAGAGACCAATAAAGGATCTGAAAGACACATCTGGTCCTTCAGTTGAAGCCCTATCAGAAATGGTCTCTGTGGAAGGGTAGCTGTCAAGAACTTATTCTTAAGGAAGGAAAACAGGGAGAAAGGCCGGGAGAAAGGCCAAATTACACAAGAACTGGTCTGAAGAGGTTTGATGGAGTGATGATGCAAATTTGAAAAATTGCATTAATTATTACTATGCACAGAGGATGTCAGGAGAGAGGTACAACAGTGAGTGTCTAAAACCACCTGTAAAACACAGTGGAGACTCTGTCATGGTTTAGGCTGCATTGATGAGATGTTGGAGATTTTGCCAAAACTGCTAAAATGATTAGCACAGAAAAGGACAATCAAATTTTGAGCCACCGTGCAAGACCATCTGGAGAGCAGCTGATTACCAACAGCTTCATTCTTCAGCATGATAATGATCCCAAACAAAATCCCAATGCAGTAAAAATATAGACAGATAGAAAAATGCAGTGGAACACTATCAGTCATGGATTGGCCTCCCCAGAGCCTGGACATCAACGTTTTCACAGCAAAATTTTGAAATGAGGGATGATTCAAAGCTTTTACACAGTTCTATACTTCACTAGAGTGACTGAGCTTTTCCATAGACAGCAAGCAAGCAAGCAAGCAAGCAAGAAAGAAAGAAAGAAAGAAAGAAAGAAAGAAAGAAAGAAAGAAAGAAAGAAAAACATTAACCACATGATGACTACAAAAATGCTGCTGTTAAAGTTTGATCACTTGTACCAGATGCTACACCATGTGTGTAATAACTCTCTGTGTTGCTATGGTGTGTCAACTGTGAGTCATCTATTCCTAATGGCGAGATTTTATGACAACAACACAAAACAAGATTTCTGAGTATTAGAACTCACCTTCATCAGCACCACAGAGAACATGTTGCTGTATAAATCTGTTTCCTGTTCTTTTTTCCTGATTATTTGCTCTTAAATATCTTCTTCCATCACTGATTTTGTTAGGGTTGATTCAGATTTGTGCTTGCTATTGTTCTCACACACACATTCAAACCACATCTCATTATTAAATCCTTTCCATACCTTTGGGCAAAACAGATCTTATCTCAACCTTTACTTATGGCAGCTCTGTGTAAATTAGTCTAGAACCAAAACACTGGAAGAGAAATCCCAACTAAATCTGAGGAATACTTGTTTGCCAAGATCATTGGACTCACAATTATGCCTTATCACTGTCTAGGGAAATGGATGGAATCAACATAAGTTTTTATGCATCAGCACATAATTAGAAATGATCCAGTCCTTAGCAGGTCTTAAACTTAGGTACATGCACCCTCTGTTGAACAACAACAATGAAATTTTACACAGTGTCATTATTTATTTTACAAAAAAGTAAAGCTATGTGTGAAAACCCACGTAGACCCATTCAACATTTTGCAAAACTACAATAATCAGCAATACATTGAAGTAACTGTTGTTTCTATAACTTTATCAGTTTGTTCACACCTGTGTCCAGATCAGTAGGCATATAGGCATGTACCAATCAAGTTTGAATGGGCCAATAGGTGGAGGCCCTACACCAGGAAAACAAGAGACAGACAAACAACAGTGCCATCTATCCTTGCATATAACAACATCCATTTTTTACAATGCTGCTGCAGTTCACTGAGACTCGTGGTCATTCATTTATGGATAGCTCTCTTAAGCTTTTACCATGGCATTGCAGGTGGGTTGGGTTAGGATTAGCACTTTGACTGGATCACTGAAAGCCTTTGATTCGGTCTAATGTAGACTTTTTGGTGTGTGGTGTGGGATCATTGTACATTTAGCTTATAGACAGATGGCCTCAATTTCAGTTCATAATCCTTCAGTAT